TATCACAAGTGTGAGCCAGCGAGCCATGACGTCACGACAATAGAGACGTTAGCCAGTTGTGCGAGGTATCGGCAGAGATTTGTGGAGTACAATTAAAAAAACAACTGTAGGTCTAATAATGAATTATTGTGATGTTAAATAGACAATGTTAGTTAGCTATCAAAGAGCGACGTTGTTTTTCATTGGGACCTTCGTCCCTTCAAGGCTAGGCCTATACCATCCTAGCTAGTCTAGGCCTAGAGTAGGATAAGGCTGGCGCGACATGCGGACGTTGGTACGAGTAGGTTTAGTCTACAAACGTCGCCTAAAGTAATTGATTTTACCCGGCAGAACGAAAGAAGGAAACTCTGCTTTTCAGTCGTCTTAGGCTGTCGTTTTTTGACAAACAATGACCTTTCAGAGGTCAAATCGCTGTCAAGAATATGAATTGGCTGCTTCGCAGCAATAAAGCGTTTTCTGTTTAAGTGCTTATTTTTTTATAGATATACATATCCTACAACAAAAACGTCACAAGGCCTAGCTATCCTAGATAGGCCTAGATATGGAAGACCGTAAATAGGCCTTCAAGGTCAGAACAATATAAAGTAAATGTCAGCAGCACTTTTGTTGAGACTAACAATAAAGAATTCTTTATTGTTAAACTCTCAAAAGTGCTGCTGTCATTTACTTTATATTGTTCTATACTATACGGCTATACATTTTATTCATCATGTTGCCTTCAAGGTCTGTCACTTTCAAGAGATGGTCCGTCACAAATAATTTCTTTGTGCGTCAATTTCCCACAATGGTCAGTAGTCACATTTTTGACGAAGGCATGCATCATGGTACATGCATATGGAAGACACACATTTGACAAGTGACGCACCCTTCCCTGGGGTCATACACAACTAACGGCTGCATATTTTCTATCCTATTTTGTCATCATCGACATAAACAATATGTACATTTGAATCATTGTTTAATCTCCAACAATCATGATTTATTATAACAACACAGTATTGCTGGTATTGTAAACACGCCTTCTCTCTAAGTAGCCCAGAGAGTCATTTTATTTTTCGTATAGCGACTGGTGGTAGATAGAATATGGGTAGACCAAGGCCGGGCATGCTACGCCAGGATGTTTAGTCAGTCTTAGGCCCTTAAGGTCTTGGAAATTCACTGTGTTCAATAGGGTGGAATCACCACAGACCGCCTGCACCATAAATTCCATTGTCTGATGGTCTGACTGGGCGAATGGCCTGCCTATTAATACCATACGAAGGCGAATCGTACAGACCACATGTAAATGTCTAAATCACTTGAAGGTAAGTACATTCAATAGTTAAGAGCCTTACCGTTTAAACAATAATGGACAATGGATTAGTAAACCGCTGTCAAAGGAACATCGACTTCAAATTTTAAACTTTCACTCAGCGTTTCCCAAAGTGTCACCTCTCATCAGCACGGTGTACGGTCACTTTACACTCCATTATAAACAATACAACACCGCCTTCACTCACAACGCATGCGCAAGCTAATTTCCTTCTTTGATTTTTTTTGTCATCTATCTTGATTCCTTCCACTGTATTTTACTGTATTTATTAATTCATTTATTTTAATTTATCATTTTTTTATTAATGATAAAAAAAGACAAAAACAATAATAATAATAATAATAATAATAATAATAATAATAATAATAATAAGAATAATAATAAAAATAATAATAATAATAATAATAATAATAATAATAATAATAATAATAATAATAATAATAATAATAATAATAATCAGGACTACTGTATTTTTAACCCCCTGTACCAGCTCCCAACAATTCTTATCTCATCATTTTTAACAATTTTAAAAATGTTATTAAAAATATATATAAATGCTATTGCTGTCTTTTTGTACTGGGCTCTGTGGGAGAACAGTAGATAATGCTATAACTGAACAGGTTTTCCCAGTATAAATAATATAAAGAATAAATAAATTAAAAAAATAAATAAATAAAAAGGCTATTGTACACTTTTATGTGGAAAATACATCTTGTCGGTGGTCGCTTCAGGGATTTCCCAACAAGTGGGCTGGGGGGGGGGAGGTTCC